TGGTACCCCTCAGATTTTAGTCAACAAATAAATTTCACAATCTTTTAGATATACAATTTTTATGAGTGAAGTACATCGAGAGCAAAGTTTAAGTTCTTTTTTCAAAATACTTTAGTCATGCGATATAAAATAACTATAAAAATGTGACTACTAATGAGACTTGTCTACAGAACTGTTTACGTGTGTTCGTTTTTCACTGTTTCTGTTGATTCTGTGAAACATTATTTTGTTAACACTTCTGTATTTTATCGTGGAAAAGTGTCTTTTTCGGTTACATCTGTCATGCATTTCTCTCTTTAGCAAAACGTCCCTCTGTGAAGACTGTTGTTCGATTTCACTAGCACTCTCATGAACGGCCTCATCACTACATTCTGCATGCATCTGATTATCAAGACTTATCGTCTTGTTATCTGCAGTTAATTTTGCATCAAAAGGTTGACCTCCTGAAAATGGATTGTGCATACTAAGAGGTGACAGAAGAAGATTTGAGCTTTTATTGAGCTTTTTATACTCTTAACAGCACTAGTATAAACAAATTTTAACAACTTACGGCAACTCCCGAACTAACATTAAAACATTTAGGCCAGAAGAACGCTAAAAGAAGGGCAGGCATGCATCCGTTGGTCTCCGCCTGGATTGCGCCACTGGTATTGCCAGGGCAATGAATAGAGAAGGTAATTCTCAATAAAACGAGACTGCAACGCATACTAAAGGGGGCTGGATTTCTGCCTATTTTGAAGTTAATTTTGACAAAGACGACTTGCTCCAAAATTATTGATGGGGTAAATCTCTGGCAATACCAGATCTCTTGGCATATTTTTCTCTCGAGATCAAATGAAAAGACATATTAAGAAGAAATGGTTTATAGTACGATTGCTTTATCGAGATTAAAAAAAATAAGCTGTTTTGTTCAACTTTGACGAATTAGTAAAGCAATGGACGTTATCATAATGCAATACAAGTAATAATAATTAGTTGATGTCGTCATTCCACTAACACTATTGCGAACGGCTTTACCACTACATTCTGGATGCACCCCATTATCCAGAATAATCATCTTGCTATCTGCAGTTAATTTTATGGCAAAAGGTTGACCTCCTAAATATATTATTGTTGTATATCCAGTTGGTTTAACTACCTGCATTTCAATCTCCTTTTCTGAACCACATTGACCAGCTAATGGAGCGGATAGTTTAAGATGATTTGCATCCTGTTCACTAATTTTCACATTTCCATTTAGACAACAACATTGCTGTTGATTGCATCTGTTATCTGTTTTAAATGTGCCAATCCATGGTGAAGACTGTTGACCATGAATAGAAACAAATACAACTATTAATAGCCACACTGGTAACATTTTTGTCAGATAATCGTCTAAGGACAGAACAGGCAAACTATACTTTCATTGAAAATATCAATAATAACTTATGCTTACCGTTTTCACGGAAAAAATTTTCTTTCAAAACTTTTATTGGTACGTGTATATGAAAATGAATGCGGTTTATACATTTACTTTATTATATAGATAACTTCACACTCAATAAGAGAGAAAGCGAGTCAATATTAGAGTTAATAAACACGTTCTGTGAAATCTGTGAAAGTTAAGACAAAATCAATATCTTCATACTTCGAGTTGAAAATCGAAGATATCGATTTTGTGTTGACTTGATAGATTTCACATAGCATGTTTATTGACTCGAATACTGACTCTCTTATTAGTTGGGCGGAAGATCATTGAATTTCGTTTATTTATCCAATAACTGGTTTTATTTTCATATTAGTATGTCAATTTACTTATATTTTCACGTTGTTTTCGAAAAAAAAGAATGCTGTTTTTGTGAACCATGATTCGCCAAAAGTGTCCTTTTTACGTTAGGGGACCCAGGAAAGCCGTTTTACTATATGTTTTAAGCTTTTTTCGAATTAGTCATTCGACAGAGCAAAAAGGTTGTATTTATTATGAAATTTTCAAGATTATAACTTGTAAGGGCTACATAGCCCAGGCCGAGGACAAATGGAAACGGCAAAAGACGGCACTTTTGTCATTGCTATAGGTCGATCAAAAATCATTTAATCAGTTTGGACAAAACGTGTTAACGTTTTTACCGTTATCGACGCTTGATGCGTGTCGCTGATCGACACGCATCAGTTCCATTTCTTGCCAACAGTGACTCTACTTCTCTCCAGATCAAGACCATTGATACGATCCATCTCCTGCCACACTAAGAATGTGTTATTCGGGCATCAGTCCCAGTTTCACAAGCAAACATCGTTCAGTTTCGCCCGAATTATGCTTTGCAGCAAAACCACCGAGTCCTGTTGAATCGAGCACTGCTAGGAATCCAGAATTACACAACATATTTGAAAGTTTATAATCCGAGTCCTTTTCCTCGAACGATTAATAAGAGCACAAACCTAGGCTCAATTGTCATTCCAGCAGATTTTGAAGTTCTCAAAATTGATTCATCCCACTTTGAACAACTGAATTTAACCACGACAACTTCTGATTCTCCACCGCAACACAATTCGGAAACTAGTCAGAAGATCCATGATTTCGTAAAACATCTGACTGATCAACGCCAGCAACAGCTAACCCTGGACATTCTGAATCGGCATTACAAGGTTTTTGATACCACCAAAATAACACAGGCAGACACCCAAGTCCAGCATACGATTAACACTGGTTCCAGTCTTCCAATCAGTCAACGGCCATATCCCAAAACTGTGCAGCAGCGAAAAATTATTCAGCAAGAAGTTTAGAAAATGATTAATAACAATCAAGTTGGTCCTTTGGATGACATTTTGATTTTTTCCAACTCTTTCGAAGAACATCAGCAGCATCTGAATGGAATTCTTGGGATATTAGCGACAGCTAATTTCCAAGCTAATAGTGCCAAATGCACCATTGCGGTCCCAGAAATAGAATTTCTCAGTCACATCATTAGTAAGAATCAATTGAAAGCATCGTCAGACAAGATTAAACCAATAATTAATATGATTGAACCAACAACATTAAAGCAAGCAAATGCCTTCATTGGCAAATTCAACTGGTATAGGAAATTCATTCCGAACTTTGCGAGGATTGCTTCTCCCATTAACAAGGTTACCAATAAAACAAAGGCGAAAAGAAATGAATTCAAATGGGGATCCGAACAATCAAAGTCATTTCATCAGTTCAAGCAAATTCTGATCTCAAAGCCATTGCTCCTCGATTATCCCGATCCCACAGCTCCGTTCATCCTCACTACGGATGCTTCAAATCACCAGGTTGGTGGTATTCTTCGGCAAGAAACCAAGGAAGGTGTTCGGATCAATTATTATGTCTCAATCATGATGAGTGAAGCAGAGAGAAAATATCATCCAACTGAACGAGAATTCCTTGGCATTTATTGGTGTCTGAACAAGCTCCGAAACTATATTGGTAGCTCCTCAATCATCGTTGAAACAGACCATAAACCACTGATCAACTTCCATCATGGCTTAAAATTCAAAAATCAAAGAATTGAAAACTGGTTATTAAAATTACAGGATCTGCTTCCTCAAGTGATTGATGTGAAATATATTCTGGGCAAGAACAATTCTGCTGCAGACTATCTTTCCCGACGGCAAACACCAGCAAACAGCAACACCGAAAACCGATCAAATGGTGACTGGATCCGGCAGCCAGAATCATGGTCTGAAACCGAACCAAGGCCACACCAATTTATCCCACCAGCACCGAACATCACACATCAACCACCTTCCAAAAATAATTCCTGGAAGAAAATTCAAACACTTCTTTTTTTCCTGTTAGTTAGGAAGTTGTTTAAATCCGCATCACAAAAAAACCAAGCAAAGGAAACAGCGACCGAAGTACTCCTCAACCCAGTTACAACTAGATCCACATCCAAAGCCTTAGGCTCACTGTCACCGCAAGCAGTACCTAATATTCCTACACCTCAGCTACAGTCAGCATTTCCTTCTGCTTTGCTCGGCTTTAGTGAGGAGAAGATCCGATCTGAACAATTGCAAGACAAAATTATTCAAGAAAAGATCGCTCGGTGCAATCCGACAACTAAAACCAACTACAAAATGATTAATGGCATTCTGCATCGAACTAATTTATCCAGCTGTTCAACTCCTCTGCCTTATCTTCCACAAACAATGATCCAAGCTGTCCTGTTTGCCAACCATGATCATCCATTGAGTGGACATTTTGGCATTGAAAGAACGTATAACAAACTGAAGGACAAATATTATTGGCCAAAAATGTTTGAGACAATCCAAAATTATGTTCAATCTTGTCCTGAATGTTCCCAATATCACATCCAACGAAGAAAACCTCCAGGGCATTTGAAACCACTCCGGCCTCCAAACGAAGTGTTTCAAGTGTTGGGCATGGACTGGTGGGGACCAACGCAACAGGAATCATCTGACGGCAACAGATACGTTTTAGTCATAACAGACTTACTATCCAAATACGTCATCGCTAAAGCGCTTCCTGCTAACAATGCCCTTACCACAGCAACAATGTTCATGGAAGAATTCATTCTGAATCATGGTGCTCCCGAATGTC